TTTTTCGGCCTAATGACGAAATATACTATTCTTGCGTGTACAGCGAAAGCAATTTTTTTTAACTACTAAATCTATTTTAGCGGCAAAAATTTTTCATTTCGACCACCTTTTGCATGTTTGGCACAAAAAAATTCTTTTTTGATAATTTTCAAAAAACGATTTTCTTGGCACAAGTAAGATTTGTTTGAGAACTGTCGTTTTTCTCTCAGTGTAGGTGGAGACGAGATGGGACGAGAAGGTGTCATTTCTCGTCTCGCGGCATCACTGCGATGAACTCTCGAAGCTTTCTATTAGATTTCAATTGGAACTGAGTAATCGTACTTTTGAATGAATCATTTTGGAGATGTCGTGTAGATGTTAACTGTAATTTTGAATTACATAAGCGTTGAGTGTTGATATCACGCAAAGGGTGAATTATGAGCGAAACTCCCTTCGTGTAACAACCCTCGCGTGAGGTCAACACTTAATGCTTTTTATTCACTTTTATTACACTGACTAAATGTGATAGTGTCAGTTATCCGAAAATTGATGTTCTCATTCGAGATATTTGCGTGATATCAATACTTAACGCTTTTTATCCACATTTATTCATTACGATGGCTTGATGTGATAATGTTATTAGTAGTTTAAAAACTCATGTTCCAATATTTCCGTTCCAATTTTCGCGGAAATCAAATTGCCTCCAGGGAATTTTCTAGAATTCCAAGACTTGAATCAGTCGATACCCTGCCCATTTCTCTTTTTCTATTTTTTCGGTGCAAGTAAGTAAGGAGTCAGCATTCACCAGCTCTCACTGTGGTCCTGAGACTACTATGAGTTTTAAAAGTCGTGGGCTTTTGGAGTGAGACTTTTCATATGTTGAAGATCGATTATATAGATCTGAAAACGAATAATTAGTGCAAAAAATTTTTTTGTACTATTCATTTGCCCGGCAACGCTTAAAATGCTAAAAATAGTCCAGGGCCTCCAATTTTTGAGCTACGGAGGATTTTTTTTTGCAAAATTGTTGGAAAAATATGTGGAATAACAATAACGAGCTAGTTTTTTTTTTAATTCGCCTCTTACATGGCTAAATTTGCTTTTTTTGTATTTTTTTCACACAAACAGTGAATTTGTTTTTATATGAAAAAAAACGAAATCAGCTGTGTAGGAGTCGAATTCCAAAAAACTGACTTGTAATTATTGTTCAACACATTTTTCCGAAAATTTTGAGAAAAAAAATCTTTTGTAGCTCAAAAATTGGAGGCCCTGGATTGTTTTTAGCATTTTAAGCGTTTTCGGGCGAACGAACAATGAAAAAAATTTTTTTTGCACTAATTATTCGTTTTCAGATCTATATAATCGATCTTCAACGTATGAAAAGTCTCACTCCAATAACCCACGACTTTTAAAACTCATAGTAGTCTCCCCTTAAGGATATCATGGCGGGTGGAAAAAATGCAAAAAATCCTCAAGAAAATTTGAATTTGAGCTTTTTACATCTTGAATCCCACGAAATTTAAAATGGTTGCTGAAAGCTATTTACGAGATATGTCAATAATAATTTCCAGAATTTAACACACAGAGAGAAAACTTCAGGAAAAATTACGTGACAAAGTTTAGAACTGAGATGAAATGCCTTTTCGCGAATTTTTCCGTAAGAATACGGAAAAAACGTGAAGCGAGAAATAAATTTTTCCTCCTGGCAAAGTTCCAGAAATTTTATGGATTCAAACATAACTGTTACGTGATTTCGATGGCTCTTTAACCGTAGCTTTTTTATCCGTCCATAGGTCACCTATAGAAGCATACGGTTTCCAACAAAAAACTGAAACGTTTGGAATTTTGTTCACCTTATTACCGTCAGTGACCCGGTTATGGAAGCGGTACCGGTTATGGAATCAGCGTCACATTTAGCCGAAAATCCATGTGACCCTAAATATTTACTGTGATGAACGAAGTTAAGGGGATACGTCGGTGAAATTTAAAAATCTTCGCTGGGCCTCGGGACCCATTGAGCCGTTTGTTATATCTGACGGAATATGGGAATAACTAGGGGAAATCGCGGACCTGATCGATTTTGCTCCGTATAACCACGAAAAACGTAATTTTTTCCTGTTTTTACTTTCAAAATGATCTTGGTGGTGTAGTTTTCATACGATTTTAGCTTTTTTTCTGTTAATGTTCGTTATTTTTGGTATGTTCGAAATCGGTTACTAAAATGAAAGCTCTGATGTTTGACTACAAAAATAGAAAACCATTTCACTGGAGAACAAATGGCGAAAGTACATGGATATCCTCAAAAATTATGGGAATTATGGGATGTACACTTTCTCTGAAGCTAAAAATATCCATTCCACAAAAGTTCTAAGTTATTGAAAATAATACGGTTCCGTAACTGAGCCTCGTTTCTTAAGGGTTCCATTACTGGGTCGCTAACGGTACTTTTCATTATTTCATAAATGTGTTTTCAATTTACGAAAAATTGTGAAATTTTTTTAAAATTAATCTATTAAATATTGTTATTCACAACTCAACATTTTATGTTGTGATAAAAAGAATCGTGGTGTCTCGGAGGTTGTGCCAACAAAATTTTATCAACATTGGCGATCAAATACTCGAGACATCATCGAATTTCATTGTTTGGCTCAAGAGGCGGATAATTCACACCAGACGGTGCCTTTTCAGAATGAAAATATCTCATATAGAGGAAAATTTATCAACAAATATTTTACGCTTAAGTTACAAGATTGCTATCATATCATTATTATTGTTTCACTTAAGAGTTCATTTCTTGTCTGTGATGATTAGACGGACGAAACGAAAAACTACTATCCCTTGTTTTGCATAAAACAAAGATTTTTCGGGAGCAAAATACGTATGGGAGTATCGAATAACGAAAGAGTCCCGAGTGGAAATTCCGGTCAGGTCTTGATCAAGTTCGGATCAGGTTAGACCTGACCACTGATCAGGTATTGATCAACTTGACGGATCCGGTCTTGATCAGACATGTTACGCCTCTGATCAATCCGGATTTGATCAGGACGAATGGATCCGAACTTGATCAAGTCGAACTTGATCTGAACCCGCCTGTAGTTTTTTGGATCCGATCTGCTGAATCAGAACTTGGTCAGGCTCTCATCAGGCATCATCTGATCATGTCTACTTGATCAGAACTTGATCTGAACCCGCCTGAAGTTTTTCGGATCCGATCTGCTGGATCAGAACTTGGTCAGGTTCTCATCAGGAATCACCGGATCAGTCGAACCTTACAAAAACCTGATCAAGTTCTGATCGTGCTTCAGGTGGGCCTGAAGCAATTTCCACTCGGGGTAGTGCTAGAAGTGATAGTTCTTGCGTGTACAGAGAATCCAATTTTTTTTTAACTACTAAATCTATTTTTGCAACAAAAATTTTTCATTACGGCACACTCTCTGCATGTTTGGCACAAAAAAATCCTTTTTTAGACATTTTCAAAAAACTATTTTCTTGCTACAAGTAAGACTTGTTTGAGAACCTTGTCGTTTTTCTCTCAGTGTATGATGAGTTTTAAAAGTCGCGGGCTATTGGAGTGAGATGCATTGTGGATCGATTTTATATGTCTAAAAACGAATAATTAGCGCAAAAAAATTGATTGTTTATTGTTCGTTTGCCCTGCAGACGCTTCAAATGTTAAAAATAGTCCGGAGCCTCCAATTTTTCAACTAGAGAGATTTTTTTTTCAAAATTTTTGAAAAAATGTGTACAATAACAATTACGAATTATTTTTTTGAAATTCGACTCCTACACAGCTAATTTCGTTTTGTGTAATATAAAAATTGGGGCTATTCGTGTAAAATAGGCAGAAAAATTATCCTTAAAATTTTTTAAATATATTCTCGATTCTTTCAGAAACATTTTTCGGGCTATTTTACATGAATGGTGCAATTTTTTATTAAAAAATGACGAAATTAACTGTCAATGAGTTGAATTTCAACAAAATAATTCATAATTGTTATTGCACATATTTTTTAAAAAATGTTGAAAAAAAACTCTGCAGCTCAAAAACTGGAGGCTCTGGACTATTTCTAACATTTTAAGCGTCTGCGGGGCAAATGAACAATAAACAATTTTTTTGTGGCGGTTAGGTGTATAGAGACGCAATAATAACTCGTGGTTGTGGAATATAAAGGCGTTGTATTTATCGCAGAGAGATGTGTTCACATCGTATATATAAATTGGACTGAATCGGACTGAACCGACTGAATGACTGTTCGTGGGGGAGCGTGCGAGGTTAAATACCTATTGTTATGGAAGGTTCGAGAACCGTCCAGAAATCTCGTGAGGGATAAGGACAGAATGATGCCCGTCTCGAATATGACGGTACAGAATATTCTAGACGCGTTAACTAAATTTCGAAATAATACGTTTGTGGCTCGCGCCACATTTTTTTGCGCTAATTATTCGTTTTTAGACATATATAATCGATCTTCAATGCACGCGAAATCTCACTCCAATAGCCCGCGACTTTTTGGGATGTTCGACACCCTTTTAGCCAAAATTGACGTTGTTTTCATTTTTTTGGCAAATTATCGATGGGAGTGACGTGAAAAAATATAACGATTTTGTGGTTTGTCATTCTTTAATGGCTCACGAAGTTGCGTAGTGGTGCGATAATTTTCATGCGTTTTTTCTACAGTTTTGTGATTCTTTTTAAAAGTTTAGAGAAAACGCAGAAAAATGTTCGCACCACCTTAAAATTTCGTCAGTCATTAAATAATGACAAAACGCAAAAACGTTATATTTTTTCACGTCAATTTCATCACAAGTTTGCCAGAAAAATTTAAAAAAACGTGAATTTTGGCAGAAAGGGTGTAGAACATCCTTAAAACTCGTAGTAGTCTCCCCTTAAGACAATGTTTTCTGTTTCAAAAGTCTCCATGAAAATAGCATGAATCAAAACATCATTTTCATTTTATGCATATTCCGTCATTGCGAATCTCGGTATATTGCACTCACGCAAGATGTCACCACTTGCTGATTAAAAAAAGCAGTTTATTGAACTTTCGGGGGTAAAAGTCTCTAGTGACAATGAATAATGAAATAAATAAACACATTGTAACAAAATAATAAGTCACTATGAGTATAACTAACTGTTGTACTTGCCAAAAAGGTAACAACAGTGGTTGTGCAACTGTCTTTACTGACACTGTAAATACAAACTCAGAGTTTACACTGGTGTTTTAAGGTTAAAAGGCTGTACTTTTGACCAATGGCTCTTCTCAGTTTTACTTCCTTGTGTTTTGATTCGTTCGGGTAGAAAACAGGTAGAGGCCGATTTTTTCACTGAACAAGACGAGCTTCTATCCTATTGTTATCCTCTTGAATTTCGAATAATGAATCAGTTTCCTTTCAACTCCCAATGACCCGGAGTTAATTAAAATCTCTTTCCCAGTAGTTAATGCCGGAATTGCCTGTGAATACGATTAAAGTTTCAACTTCACACTGGAAAATTTTCAACAATTCACAGACTCATAAATTTACTCAAACTGCCGTTTCCCATTTAATACTTTGAAAAAGCTCTCCTATTTTACGGCAAAAAAGAATCAATACCTTTTTTACAATCCATAAAACCCATGTGTCGGTATTCTTACCCTGCACATTACGTGTAAAAGTGAAGTGCCAGTGCACTTGCCCTCATTGCAGCTTGAGTTCCACGAGGGAACCCTTTTGCCTTCTGTTGACAAGTCTCTCCTAGTACTTCCCCCTCAGTTTACCCTTCTGACCCGCGCGATAGATCCAATTCAGTTCAGGCCGGGTATTACCACTGTAGAGAAAAAAACATTGAGAGAGGGGAAAAAAATATATAGAAAGGGGTGAAATGACGATGACCTCCGTTGTCGAGACCAGTAGTCGGGAGGGGCATTGGGCCGACGCCTTAATCGCATATATACATACAGCGCTATGCAGTCATGCAGGCGGAGAACAGCGGGATTCAAAGGTATAAGGGTGCCGCGCCTGGATACGGTCCTCGCCCTGTCAGGCCTTCATTATCCCTCCTCTCGCCTCCCCCTTCATCCCACCGATCTTCTCTTGTTTCCTTCTACCCATTTACCATTGAATTTTTATGCAACTCCTCTCGCCGATCTTGTGTACATCACACGAAACTTCGAAGAAGACGAAAAAAAAACCTCCGGAGAAGACTAACGAAGAGAGGCGAGATGTCACAGGGGGCAGAGAGTGAAGGATTCATCCCTTCTTCCTCGTCCCTCTCCTTCTCGCGTCTTCCAGTCACCTCCGTACAAATTTTTTTCTCTCCTCTCTGTTCGTCACCCTCTGCCATCCCTCGCGATGTAACGCGGAAGCGCGCAAGTCGCGGATCGATCGTCTATCGTCATGGTTACGCCAGCCCTCCTCCTCACCGGTGGTGTACAGTGCTTGCAGTCCCACCGTACATCTCCTCTTACTCTCCCCCACCCACTTCGATATCACCCACCTCTATCAAACCACCACCCCTTGGTACCCAACCTTCTGCTCCTCTCACTCCCACACCGTCTTTTTTTCTGCGCGCTCTCTCTCTCTCTCTCTCTCTCTCTCTCTCCCTCATCTCTCAACGGTTAAGTCCGGTACGAACGAAAATTCGTCCACCGAAAAAGCCCCGCGTTCGAGAGAACCACACTTACCATCGGTCTGGACCATCAACGTCGTACCGTTTTATCATACCCCCCAAGTTTTATAACCTTTCACCGATTTTTCATTCTACCTCTCATTTCCATACGCTTCGGTTTCTATTATTTTTCATCTCTCAACCATTGAATTCAAAACAGTCTGATCATCATAATAATCAAGTGCTTTTGTTCATATTTTCAACTGCAGCTGAAATTCATCCGAGTCAATTGAATTGCCAAGTGGCCGAGAGAAATTTTGACATTGAAAAAACCCCGATTGTGAAATTTTAGTGAATATAACTTGTGCTACTGAGACGACAACGCGGGGCGGGCGGGGGTAAAGGGATGAGGGTGGATGAGGTAAATAAATAAGAGGGAATAAAGGAGGAGTACGAAAAAAGGCGGCGCACTCCACGGGCGTGATCGTAGCGCGGTGAATATTGACATTTTCGGGCTAGGGGCGCTCACAGAGTCCAGGGCCTTCCCTGATCCTCCTGCCGCAGTATCCATGGCTACGCTCTGGATAAAATCGCGCCAAACCGGCGCGCGATACTGTGAAAAAAAGACTCAGTGAATATTTAAAATAATTTTTATTCAGACCAACGATTTTGAGGGAAGAAGAAGGATTGGAGAAATTTTTGGGGGTTGATAAGAGCGAGTGACAGAGCGTCGAGAGACGGGTGAGTGAATAATTTGAAGGGTGCACAGTGACAGGTTGTGATTTTCGTGTGCCCTCGCAACTGGATTTCAAAGGGTTTTGTCCTCCCCCAACGTTCCCCATTCGCTCCACCCAATACTACCTCTCACCCTCATCCCTTCCCCGCCGGTCCCCCTCTCCCTCTCTCGGCTTTTCTACGGACCCCCTATATCTATGTTATTGTGCATCATCCCTGATATGGCGGTGTGTTGCGGGTGAGGTCTCTCTCGACGCGCTTCCGAGGATGTCGTCGACCGTAAGTCGTTAAACCTTTCATTTTCTCAACATAAATTCCACTGTCTCTTAAATTCTCACGTACTGAATAAATTCACTGTTACATTTTGTCATATTAAAAATGGAGATGTCAATTCAGTGAGAGTTCAGGATCACTGCGTTTGTTGGCAATATTTCTCGGTGCTCTATATCTTCATTTCTTGTCGTGTATCTTCTGTGGCACCAGAAGGGGTCGCGAGACATTGACATCGTGTCCAATACTGCGGTGGACCAGGAACGAAAATCCATTTATCGACGAGGCTTTTTGTGATGTGGCCGCACAGTGAAGTTTGACATTTCGCAGGAGGTTTTGTGTTACTCAGTGGCTTTGGAGGTTGATCTGGGCTTTTAGGGGTTTGTCTTTTTGCTTTCGGGGCTACAGTTGTTTTGATTTGTGGAGATGAAAATAATTCCGTTGAGTTGTTTGACGTAGCACGGGGGGTTTAGGTGAGTGCATTATTGCCCGAGTCAACGAACCATTGCTCCGTGATGCTGTGAGGGGGTGTGTGTGTATTGATGCAGTTGGGGGTAGCGTGACAGGTAACGAAATATCATAGATCAGAAGTGGAGAAGAAGAGTGATCTCGGGTGGCTGCGATTTGGGG